CTGTTTGTTTATAATTCGTTTTACAAGATCGGGTCAAGAACAGAGATTATTCTGATAAGTCTAGAGGAAAATCATGTAAAATACGCTGCAAGTTTGGTTTCTAAGAATCAAATAATGTGACATAGTACGAGGCATTGATAGCTGGTCTAACATTAGCAAAGGAGACGAAATTGATAGAGATCAACTGTGATTCCTAGTTCCTAGTGAATCAGGTGTACCGTAGCTTCACCAACAAAGAGACATGGCCAATTCTCTGTAGCATGTTATGGGCTTACAATAAAGTTTTAAGAAGTTAAAATTTCTAAGTTTCTTGAGCTGAGAACACCAGTATAGATGCTCTGTCTAAACTTGCCTCTACTAGAGATTGCATATTTTTAGTTGTGATTCCCAATGGTTACCTAAAGAAGCATTCAGTCGAGGACAGAAAGAGTTAATGGTTATCAATTAACAATCGGAGTGGATGAAAGATCTCTCAAATTATTTTGAGGACCAAAGGCTCCAATCCGATAAATTGAGGCCTAACAGATGAAATTACAGCCAAGCTCGCTTATATAAAGGGGTGGAATCCTATTCAGAAAACATTTTTTCAACTCCTTTGTTATGCCACATCAGAGGAAACAAGGTTGAATACCTGCTAAATGAGGTACATGAGAGAATTTGCAGAAATCATAAAGGTGGTTTGTCAATTCCTAAAAGATCTTGAGGTAGGACATTATTGGCCGATCCTAAAAACGATTCCTTGAACTATGTCAAATGGCGTGATAATTGCCACAGGTTTTCCAACATACTTCGACTTCACACTCAATAGCTGACCATAGTAACCTGTCCATGACCTTTTTTGTAAATGTGGATAGACCTAGTACGACCATTACCCAAGGGACTAGTTGGAGTCCAATACATGACAGTATCTAATTATGAATTTATGAAATGGGTTAAAGCTGAGCTAATGAACCAGGATGGTCGAGGCAGTATGATCAAATTTGTATGGAAAAGCATAGCATGTAGGTTTAGGGTTCTACATTATTTGGTCTCATAAAACTTCGTTCGGTTCCATTGGTACCTGTGGGGGACAAATTTGTGTTAAGGGGAAAGAGTTCAACTATTGCCTCAATCATTCTACATTTCATTCTTTTGGCTTATTCTATCTAACCTTCCATTTAATTATGGGTAGCTATTGATAGATATTGGTAAGTTTTATTACTACAATGAAGAAATCACTTTGTATTTACAAACAACAATCGTTGGCAGATGGTTTTGAGGCTGGGCCCTGTTTTTGGCATTGTAATGTTGAACTCACGCTTCGGCCTCATTCCATGGATCATTTCAACCCCATACTGGGTGAGAAATTTCATTAAGAATATAAAGATTGAAGTGGCTGGTCTTAGTTCATGGAGCATCTGTCTTCCAGTGATGGTGTTATAATTGGTGGGAGATCTGCCAGACTACCATCATAATGTAAGCAATCATTTGCACTTGTTGTGGAGCCTTACTTAATTCGACTATGAGCAAGATATTGCCCTTTACCTACACGAGATTTCAAGTCAATCACTATTGACATTTGTCGAATAGATTGAGATATGATACCATTTATCTCTATCTGGTCTATTCCACTATGTCCAACATGTATGAAGTCCTTAGTTATATAATGTTGAATCAAATTTGATGTCACCTAAAATAATTGTCATATATGACCTGGATTAGAAGTTGTTTAGTTTTTCGAAGACCAAAAGAAAATCCAATCAATATTGACTCTGCTATCTAAAAATGGATAATGTATAATTAATAAGTTGGTAATGTGCTTTCACAACACAATTATATAGATAGTGTACTAAAATCATTTTGTGATTATACCATGATAGATTCGCTATAATGGAGTTAAAAGTATGATCAAGTGGCTTGACTAATTTGGCTATCTATACATATTAGATTGGCCAAATTGCATTCGAAATATTTAACAAGTTAATGCACCATGCACATGCTTTGCACATCGCACGTGTAAAGTATTGAGATACTTGCAAGGAACGAAAGATCACATGCTCACTTATATGAGATTTGATAACTTGGAGGTCACTGGATATTCAGATTCGGACTTTGCTGGATGTGTGGATACTAGAAAGTCCACATTTGGCTATTTGTTCCTCTTAGCTGGAGGGACTATATCATGGAAAAGTGCGAAGCAGTCAATCATTGCTGCATCCACTATGGAAGCCGAGTTTGTGGCATGTTTTGAGGCCACAGTTCAAGGAAATTGGTTGCGGAACTTTATTTCAGGACTTGGGATCGTCGACAGTATAGCCAAGCCATTGAAACTTTATTGTGATAATTTTGCAGCAGTCTTCTTTTCAAAGAACGACACGTACTCTAAAGGTGCTAAGCACATGGAATTGAAGTACTTTGTCGTTAAAGAAGAAGTTCAAAAACAAAGGGTGTCAATCGAGCATATTAGCACCAATCTTATGATTGCAGATCCATTAACAAAAGGATTGGCACCAAAGACATTCAATGAACATGTCGAAAGGATGGGCATTATTGAAAATTATCATTAACATTATTATGCAATTTATGATACTTATGTATTGACATTTTGGGCTCATTTATGTATTGTTTTTGGCAAAATATTATTCCTGTCATAACTGTTGGTACATGTACGTGAATGAATTATGCAAATGCTGACAGGGATAGTCTTTTCAAAGACATTAATGCAATTATCGAACTTCTCATTATGTGTCATGTTGGGAAGGGACTAATACTGTAGTGCATGGAAGGAATTATGCTTATATGATGGTGTAAAACCGCCATGACTCTTATTAGTCTTTACTTAAGGATGATTTATTAAGGGACCAATATTTGATGGATTTTAGCTAATGGTATGCGCATTATGTTATATACCACATAACAAAACAATATTACACGGGCCAAGTGGGAGAATGTAAAACCAATTATTTGTGGCCCATGTAATATTAAAGAATTAATTAAAGGTGATTAATATTACTAAAATCGTATTGGCCCAATTGAGAAATGGTAGTTTTATAATTGTCTACTTTGATGGAAAGTTGAGAGTTTTATGGCACAAATGAGACTGCCTCTCTCTGCCTATAAATGTGAATGAAACTCATCAATTAATTCATTCAATAAAAGAGAGGAAAAGTGAGAGAACGGTTTCTTTAATTTAACAGTTTATTATTTTGCAGATCTAAAATTCTCAATTATTGCCATGGATCAAGGTATGTTTCTTGATCAATTAAAATTTCATATGTGAAAATCATGAATTCTAAAGATCTTGGTATTAGGGTTTAATCTCTTACATATGGAGCTACGGTCTTATCTTTTGCTGCAATCTGTGGTGCGATGGAACTGGCCAAGGAAATGGTAAGTAAGAATAAAGAATTAGTTACGATAGAAACTACAGGCCAAGAATATGGGCAACTTCGTGTGATTTTGGCTGCATTGCATGGATAGAAGGACATGGTTCATTATTTATACAGTGCGACGCCAGAAGATGTGCTGAGTCCCGAAAAGGGTACAAATGGAGCCACGCTAATTAATTACCTTATTATTGCTGAAATTTATTGTAAGTGAATGCATAATGTGTGTAGTTTAATCATACTCTATGTGGATAAAACCCCTTGTATGATTTATAAATTTGTCAAATGGAGCCATATGTTTTCTGATTTCGTTTTAGTGAAAGTTGCAATCGCAACTGAGATTAGGGCTTAATTCTCTAGGGAAGTATACCTAATTCTGGCTATTTTCTTACTGTAGATGCTGCTTTATTGCTATTGAAAAGGTATCCATAGCTGGGCGTTATTCCAGATGGTAGTGGCAATTACGCTTTCAAAATGTTGGCTCAAAGGCCTTCTGCATTCTTAGTGGGACTAAGCTTGCTTTTTGGGGAAGATGGATCTACTTTTGTAAGTGCTCACCTATAAATTTCATTCACAAACAATGTACCACAAGGGTACATTTAGATAAGCTTTAGTTTCTTTCTTCGTACTGTCTAATACAACATGCAAACGTGCCATAAATTCACTTATTGAACATGATCATTTTGAAAAGTATTCCTTGTCTGAACTTTTTACACAAGGTGTAAGAGTGCATATATCTTGGGGCAGTTATCATGATGAAGCACATGTAGAAATGCAAACATCAAGTGTTATTGATGATCACAACATTCAAATTGATGAATCAAGCGACGAAGATCTGACGAGAAGGATGCCACATGGATGCCTAACTATGACTACTTGAGGTACATTAAACAACACCGCATTCCTCACTTTCTTATTCAAGTCTTTTTCACACACGCTAAATTTAGTTTGGAGATAAAAAAAATCAGGCCATGAAGACTCATCGACCACCCCTGGCTGCCTAAGCCCTTTTAAATTTATTTTGAACACGTGGACCCATGGGTCTTTACACTTGAACCCGGCCAACTGTAGAGTAAGATGTGGGCTGACCGCACCATGTCCTAGTCTGGCCGTGCTTTCATGTGTCAAGTGGCCCTAGGCTTGGATAACCCACTACATTTTGACAACTCTAAATAAATTCTTGACGTGCAGCTCTAGAGTTGGTGCGCAAATTGGGTTGGGGGATATTGCAATCCATTGGTACGTATTATCTTCCTATATATATAGTTTCTGCTACACATTTGTATTGAAAATCAATTACTCATGAAAGGTTATTTCACATTACTTTTCTTAATTTTCAGTTGCGGAGATCCATTACATATGCCAGAGGAAGTTAGTCCACGTCGAAGTTGGGATATTCCTAAGTGTCGTGTTTAAAGAAATGCCACATCTGAGCAAACCACAGCTTGAACAAACGGACTTGGATAAAATAATATATGATGCCATAGAGAATGGAATTATTGAATTTATAGAAAAAATGATTAAATGTGCACGGGAAAAGATAAAAAAGGGAGAACAATTTTTTCGAACGCAATTCTTTTGCGTCAAGAGAAGATTTTTGGCCTTACATTTACTTTAGGAAAAGACAAGTGTCTAATGGGAACGAGGCATGATAATTTTTACAACAATTATTTACATCTTGCCGCAAAATTATCTCCTCCTTCTCAACTTGATATTGTAACTGGAGCAGCACTACAAATGCAAAGGGAACTGCAATGGTTTAAGGTAATGTATTTGTGCTCGGGTGCGTGATTGTGTTTGCGTGTGTGTGAACGCATGTGCATGTATCCCGTTATGATTGTTATTCGAGCCATTGTATCTGCAAACTTAAGCTGATGAAAGATATCATAAACTTATTTATTTGAATTTTATCTTAAATGTGCTCCCTCTCTATAACACCAGCACAGTTCTCATCAATAGGTGACAATTATCAAAGACATAATTCACATAAATAAGTTTCTCTTTTTTCTAAAAGTTTAAATTTTAGATGAGATGATTCAATATGATATTATTGTGAAAGTTATTAAAGACATAATTCAAGTATTGTCACCATCTATTTATGAAAAATTGTGCAAATGATTTCGTCCCTAAAATTCACTATATTTCGTTTTCTCTAATGCTGCACATTCATCTAAAATTGAATCGTCATTCTATGTTATTTCTTCCAATATGCAGGAAGTTGGGAGCACAGTACAACCCAAACTCAAAGAGGAACTAAACAGCTACAACAAAACACCAAAAATTTTATTCACTGATGAACACGAGAAGTTAGCCAAAGAAGCAGAGAACTGGATGAAAAATACAGCAAGATCGAGTATGATAGTGGGCACTCTAATTGCTGCTGTAATGTTCATAACAACTTTCACAGTACCAGGTGGTAATAAAAACGACACAGGAATGCCAACAATGCTGGAAACTCAAAGGATTCCATTCTTGATTTTCATGATTTCGAATGCCCTGTCAATGTTCAGTTCGAGTATGTCGCTATTGATCTTCTTGGGAATTCTTACGGCGCGTTATGCAGAAGAAGATTTTCTCAAGTCCTTACCGACAAAATTAATATCAGGACTGATGAGTTTGTTCCTTTCGATTATTACCATGATGGCATCCTTTGGTGCTGCATTGTATTTGATTCTTCATGAGAATTTGTCTTGGGTCACTGTTCCTATCATCGTCCTTACAATGATTCCAATAGTTCTTTTCTCCATCCTGCAGTTTCCTCTCTTGATTGAGATGACACAACGGACTTACGGAGCTGGGATATTTGGTAAATATAAGAAGAAATCCCGTTTTGCTAAGTTCAGAGCATGTTTGATATGGAGAAATCCATTGAGGAAGAAAAGACATTAAAAATTTTATCGGTCTTACTACAGAGTACTATTGAATAAGGTGTCCCAAATGTGTTTTTAGTTCATTTTCGTTTCTGTCATTTTAAGTAATGATGTATCCATGGTGTTTTTTCATATGAATTCTACTTCGCCATTCTTTTGGTATTAAATTAGACCATATGTGCCTATTCTGTGGGAATAAAACAAATTGGACACCACATTTTCTAGAATAATTTTTGTGTTGGATCTTGTCACGTGTCTCGCAGAATTCCATTGTTTGAAGAATAATCTTGAATTCTTAGTACGTACAAATAGAACCACATGTTGCAATATTTTGTAATGCAAATGCGAAGAGAATTTCAGGCTATATAACTCCAAATTTTCTTGCCTTCAATCTGGTATTAAAGCCTTGAAAAAGAAAAAATAATGTCCAACAGTCTTGTTTCCCTGGTGCCTTATTTTAATAGAAAAAGTTTGATTAATATTTCACTCATCAACCATTCATAAATTTATTCATCCATAAATAAATCCAATCATTCAAATAAACGCATAAAACAACCTTGGGAATCGCTCAACTATAAAATCACGCAATAAATGAAGAATTGGAATTACAACACATGATTCTAGACCTACACTCTATTACCACTTTTTGAAAACTGGTCCGTTAGGATTAGGAAAAACAAAAAAAATTCAAAATAAGTTTAATAGACCAGATCTTTTCTAGATTACTATGTGTTGCATTTCTAATTAATTGCCACATAAGTGTTTAGATGTTACACCTATTCTGAGCAATTAATTTATTTATCTTCGATCTTGAGGTTGATTGATCTGCAAGCTTTCAAACTAGATCCCATCCAATAATTACTCCTTCCTTGATCTACAAACTTCTAACACTTAGATCTTATCTCTGATCTTCTCCACAACCAGGTTGCACTTGATTTATGGCACCAATTATCGAATTCCTAATCCTTAAGAACTCACACGAAAATATTATGATATCAGGAACTCTCTCAAGTAATGGAAGTTGTACAATCCCGAATTTTTACTTGTCAAGATCGTCCTTGCTTTTGATCAATGGCTGACTTCAGTTAAAGTTTGACCTAATCGACTATGCAACCATCCAGTTCAATTATTACCATAATTAAATCAATGTTTTTATTTGAAGCTATCAAAGGCACCTAATCAAACCTATGTGATTCAAGCTTCATATAGTTTGGGCCCAATAACTTGGATCCAATTTGTCCAGTTCAATTCTTATTCTACACTTATTCCACCAAAGGCAAACAGTCAAGTAATATAAAATTGCATAAGCAATAATGTCAATTCTCCATAGCTACATCCTTATGACTTGCTATATATATGTTCGATGGATATTTAATAATTAGTAAAGGTTCAAAATGAACGTTTTTCCCTTTAAATTATTACATCACCTAAGCTACCATTTTCTTCCGCAATTTCTCTGTGAACACATTGCCGGATTGTACAAGCATCCCCAAATGACGAGTTCAGATTTAAATCGAAGAAAATACTTAAGTTGGTTCATTAGCATATTTACATGGGGGCAGATTCTGAAAATGAATATGTGTTCACTACTTCCTCTATTTTCAGCTTCCAATTTATCAAGATGTTTAATCATATAATTAGATCTTACCCATTGAAACATCAAATATTCTAAAGTTTACAAATAGCGTCATTGTAACTATCCCTATTTCGAATTTAGGTAATCTATAAAATGGTCTTTTATAGTTTAATTTTTTACACGATCATTATATGGACTTAAACTCTATCTAGATGTCTTGTCTAATGCCCTTTGAGACACACTGAGTGGACTAGCATTACGACTCCTAAGATCTTCTTGTCAAGATCAAGACAAATAGCATATTTCAAGTAACTAATCTGACCTTACTAGAATAAAATGTTAATATTTTCTCATTGGTCGAGGACAATTAACTCTCAATCAGTATACAAATTTTGGATGGCTACATTTTTTAATGCATATACCCTGATAAATATTGTTTTTGCAATTATTCGGAGTCATAAATGATGATATATTGTTATTATTTGAATGGATTAGTGTCTAATTTATTATTTATTGCTTTTATTAGTAAAACTCATGTTTGGACAAAGAATTGGGAGAAAGATAAGAAAATCAAGAAAAATGACGAAATTCAAAGTTTGAGGACTAATGTGCAAATACTCAAAACTTGTGATGGACTTTAAATCGATAATTCGAGATCGCTAAGATCAATTGGATGCAATAATAAGTAAAAAATGAACAAAATATAATCAAAGGATCTTTATAAATCAATTTCCAACAGCAAAGGTCATATTCCAAATTTTCAACCGGAGTTTGAGAAATTCTATTATTAGAAGAATTGTATCCCTCTGAATTAGTTATTCAATGCATTTTGAATCACTTCAATTTAATATCGAGAGAGAAAGTTACGGCCAAAATACTTAAGGCTCTTTAGAGACAAAATCTTGCCCGTGCGAATGTAACTTTTCTTATTTGACTAAACCTCTTTGGAAGGAAATTTTGACGTGAATCTTATTCTAATTTCATCATATAAAATGCAAGACATGGGCAGCCATTGGAGAATCTCTCCCTCTCACCTCTCAAATTAGATTCATATCATAAAATCATTCAAAAACAAGGTAAAAATTCAATATAAGTTGAATAAAGAACAATACTTGGTCCATGACATCTTTTTCCTGTATTTATAAATTTCGGGTGATATTCTTCCATTCTTCTTGTTATTTTATCATTAGAAACATGTTGGCTAGATTTCTGTTATATTGGATGATTGATGAACCCTTTTTCGTTTTTATTTTAATTCAAGACGATTAATTTTGTATATCTTGATTAGTTTTAAATTCCCATCATAATTATTTAATTGCTTAGCTACCAATTAGATAATAAGTTGCTTGTTGTAGTGTAAAAATTCTCACAATGAGTCTAGAACGAGGTAAAACTAACATGTGTAGGTAGAATTATGAATAATCTCTTTTACACATGCAATCACTTAGATAACTTAAATTAAATGTATGATTTTCTTTTGAATTCGGACTAGGGATATGATCGAGTCGTGTTAATCATATGGTCGTGTTTTGGAAAAGAGGATTGAATAATTTAGTGTTATCGATTGTCAAAATGCATGAAATTAACTACTAAGAGTTGAAATAAATGACAATAGAGGGATCTCGGATTCCAATACAAGTATCTAAAATTTGAAAACTTCACTTTTATTGCTTTAATAGATTAACCGTAATATAGAAAATTAAGCAAATCACTCTCTTGATGTCATGCACACTCGAATTTGGTAAAAGTTATTGAACAAAACATTAGACCTTATTTTTCATAGAAATGATAAACTCAAAACTATTTTTATTATTTGTATAATGATTTCCTACACTTGTGGGTTTCAACGTGACATACCCTATTTATATATCACCCATCAATGGAAGACACTCAGTCAAATGCTCAATAAATGCATCAATTTGTTTAAGGCACATGCATATATAAATACATATTTAACATTCAAAATTTTTGACTATTACAATAAAATTCTAATATATTCTAGAATAGTAATTTTTTAGAGAATGTATTATTAAAAAATAAAGAAAATTTTGAATTTACAGATAAAATTATGTTATGGAAGAATATATAATTAAAAATGAGTGAGAAAATGTAGCTCAAATATATTCTTAACTTGCAAAACAAAAACAATGAAGAAACTATATTTTCTCTATGATTGCCGTATTTTAATTAGAATTTTCAATTATTGCTTGCTAGGGTTGGCATGGGATGGGATGGGGTGGTGTGGGGGTGGTGATGGTTCTGGCTGCGAGCGATTTTGGAGGCGATGCAGTTAATGGTGGTGGTGGGAGTGGAGTTGGAAGAGTGTTCGGGACGAATTAATTTTGATGTTATGACAAATAAATTGTTAATTTAAAATCGATAAAAAATATGTGACCTAGAAGAATGTGTGATTGATTGTGACTAAATATGTAATTGTGACTCAAAATTTGGTTGATTTGTTTGTGGTAGTGGTGGTTCTGACAATGACGGTAGCTGTGGTGGTGCTGGAGGCAGTAGTGAGATGGTGGTCGCAAGTCTTGATGGTGGTCCCATAGTATTTGGATGACTGTGACTATTAAATTGGTTAATCTGTGACCAGTAAAAAAAAGGATTAAACTATTTGTACACAAAAATTTACACAATCTTTTACACACACAACACATGGCGGCCCCCTATTGGAGGGGCGACTGTGGGCCAGCCGCCCCTTCGATAGGGAGCCGCCACGTGTTGTGTGTGTGTAAAAAATTGTGTAAATCATTAGGTGAATGTAGCATGGTCCTAAAAAATATATAAATTGTGACCTAGAAATAATGTGTGGCCAAAAAAATTATTAATTTGTGACTATAGAATAAGTTGTGACTCATTGCATTTGTGATCGATAAATAAACTGTGATTTATAAATTTTTGACTTATGACCAATGGACAAATTGTGACATATAAAATTTTTTAATTGTGACCATAAAATAATTCGTTACATGTAAAAATTTTGATTTGTGATCAAAAAATAATATGTGATTAACTAAAACGTCAATTTGTGACCAAATTATGTAAATTTGCGACTTTAATATATTTAATTAATTAATTAAATCATAAATTAAATTTAATAAATATCTGATTTTTGAAATTTAAAACATTTGTTCTTAGGTTTGAAATTGTATATACTTTTAACTTTTTAGTCATGAATTTTTCCCATTCTATATATATATAGCCATTGTTTGGCCCTATTAAAATTATAACTCATTTATCTTTCTATTTTTGTCAATCACACATTCTCTGATATAATATTATACATAATTTCAAATTTTATTTTTTTTTTGGTGTTTTCCCTTTCTACATATATGTAGCTACTATTTGACCCCATTAAAATAATAATTCATTTTTCTTTCTATTTTTATCAATCACACATTCTCGAATAAAATAATATTACACGTAATTTCAAAACT